CCCCTCCTTCTACCCTGGCATTGGTGACTGCAGGCTGTGGCTCTCCCATCTTCTGCATCCTCCCTCCCAGCTGCAGCTGTGCCATAGTGGATTTGTCTTGGGGGCCTCTTGAGCTGCCTTTGCCCAACATAGGAAYAGCTTCTGATGTCTCCTTACAGAGGCCACCACTGCCCCCCTTGGCTCCCCAAACCTGGCCATGTAAACACAGCAYGTGTGTGCATCCTGCTGAGGGATACTGTGTAACCTCCCCCAGGAGACCACACAGCATCGCAGTGAGCGCAGCATGTCCTGGGCATCACAGAATGCTGAGTCACACAGGGAGCTTGGWGGTATCCAGGGGTCTGGATCTCTGGGATGTCCCCATCGGTGCTGGTGATGGCAGCAGAGTGCAAGGCTTTGCCCAAGGAGGGGTCCCCAGCACAACCTCAGTCCATGGGTTGCTGGGAGCAGCAAATGGACTGCCCCAGGAGCTGTACTGGTGCGAGTACCCCGTCCATTGGGCACCGGGTGCAGCTGCATGTGTGGCAGGCACGGCTCTGAGAAGGCTGTTGGGGTGGATCAAGGCAGCAGGGATTTTGTCAGCCATGCTCCATGGGGTCTGTAATGGGGAGCCAAAGTCTCAGGCCTATTCTGGGGCTTTTGTGGCATTCAGAGGCCTTGGGCAGCTGAGCTGTTTTCATAGATATTGGAACATTATGTGTGAACGAAATATGTGAAAAACAGCCCGTGTGTCTCTGCMTGGGATGGCTGTGGTATCCACCATCAGGGCTGGGAGCAATGGGGCACCTGGCTGCTGGGGTGAGGCTCTTTCCATGGGAGTGATGTCTTGGGAATGAGRTCTTGAATGAGTTCAGATTTGGGTGCCTTCAGCAGCATTATTTGAAGGCAGCAGCGCTGTGGCATCTATTGTTTTGGGAGCACCAYGTGGCAGCTGATGTTTGTGATGACAGCTGTGATGCCTATGTAACTTGGGTCAAAGTTACAYGATGCTTATATGGCTTGTGTTAAAAGATACCTATATAACTTGGATCATACCTTTCTATACAGTGTAATAGATAATATATGGTTAACTAGTTGCTTAATGCTTGAATAAATAAAAAACTCACCAGGTGAGTAGTCTCAAAATAGACAAATACAGCTATATTAAGAAGCAACAGGATGTACTAATGGGAAATTGGCAAGTATAAAGCCAATAAGCCACAAAACAAACAAAGAACTTAGACCGCCAGAGCCAGAAAAAACAAATAACATCATAACCACGCATGCTCTGAAGAAAGTTCAGATGTGAGGAAGACCTTGAGCCTTCATTGAAGAAGACCCTGAAAACCACCTACATTGGGGCAACACAAGCACAGTTTTAGAACTGTTATATAACTATTACACTAATTAGTTCCATACCTTAATACCCTACATCCCGTATATAGTGATGTTATAATRATGAGGACAATATTGAGCAAAACTTACTGTCTAAATAAACCATAGCACTTAACAGAGGCTGAGATAGATGGAAAAATCTCCCTCACCYACAGCACTGCAATAAAGAAATACCTGCTCTACGGCAGACAGTGGTCYATGGGGTTTYATTTCTAGCCKATCTTTTCGKGCATCAGCTGGGATTTGGGATGATGACCGGGCAGTGCTAGTGCAGGGTGCCAGGTATTCCACGTGAATCCCGCACAGCAGGGCCGCCATCAGCACACCGAGTCACCGCAGAGAATTTTCACCAGCTGGCCTCACAGCAGGCCCTACCGCCCTGCGGGGTGA